CAATCTGAGAAAAATACGGGAAGTTTTAAAAAACGAAGGAAAACAAATTATTTTACTGTCCTTCCGCCATTTTTATACATTAGTTTCTGAAGTAAAAAAACATGTTTTGGATGGCATCTTCTTGTGCTAAGGAACACGCTTTAATTCTAAGAAAACAGAAAGAGCAAATATGTATTTCTACGTATTTATTTTGTAAGACAGATATTCCACTCTGAATGGTTCTTCCAATGATCCGGTATTTTGTGGAAAAGACCTACAATTTTAAAAATAATAATAATATATACACATAGCCGTAATTTTTGTTGTTGAGGCAGAACAGGTATTAATTTCGCACAAAGCAAGGTGGGTCCGGGCTGACAAAGGACTTCTCATAATAATTTGGGACAAGCTTTTACAAGGACGGATTCTCTTTCTGACGCGCTGACAAGTGTTTTTCTCCAGATACAATCACTAGGAAGGTTGTCATTAAAGACTAGATACCCGATCCTAACATATATATATATATATAATGTTGGCCCATATAAGAAGCTCATCTGCCCTTTGACAGGTTTTGTTTTTTGTCCTGTGGGTCCGGCAGGAAAGCTAGTGAGGGAACTGGTTTAAATGTCAACCACCCGTCCATGCACCGTGATTTTTTTTTTATTTTTAAGATCATTGATCCTTTCCCAGTAATCAGTACAATGGTGATCAGTTTTATTGTAGAGTTTACTTAAAATAATAATAATTATTATAATTATTATTGTAGTGTTTACTTAAAATAATAATAATTATTATTATTATTTTAGTGTTTACGTATAATAAAAATAATGTTTTCTGGGAAGTGAACACGATTCTCACTGGGTGCCTCATACTTTTGGCCTTGTGCCACATCTAAGCAACGCTTGGAAAATCACTATATCCGTTTATTCTTAATTTAGCATAATTGTTACCCTGAAATATAATAATAATAATAATAATAAATAATAATAATTATTATTATTATTTTTATTATTATTTTTATTATTAAAGTGATCACTGCAGATATTACCGATGATCATAAAAATAAAAAAATGGCGAAAGAAAAAGAATGAAACAAAAAATTGAAATTATTAATATTATTATTATTATTATTGCTGCAGTGGCTGACTGTTGAATGGATTGATCATCTTGAAAAGAAGGAATTGGTGGCGAGGAAAGAATAATACAAAAGAAATAAAATTATAAACAAACAAGAAAGGCAAATATAAGTAAATTCCTCTTGTGAATTTCATCTTTTGAAAGTAGAAGCCAATCAATGTGTAAACAGTGATTGGCAGCAAACCAATTTTCTTTTCAGTCCTTGCTTTACCTGTCAAATCTATCACATTTGGAGACTCAATTTGGATTTATTAGTGAGAAAATCGCATTATTTACTTTGATAGACTTCACTAAGTGTTTTCTATTTATTAAAGACTTTGAGAACTGATCCGTATTTGCATATTAAAAACCCCGCTCCATAGTCACCCATCCACTCATGATGTCTAAATTTATAAGATAAATGATATGAAATATTCGAACAACGTAAGTAAGTGGTAATATGTGAAAACCAATTGGATAGTTTTCTTTTTAATGGTAATATTAGCTGCGTCTTTTTAAGGAAATATTCGACATTCATTGACTAAGAAGTTAGTACTGGTGTCGGTTGAAATTTATAAAATCATTCTCCAAAAAGCATTTTTCAGGAAAATATGTTTCTTGAGTTCAGGAGCAGTTAATGATATTCCAGATGATTTTTTTGTCTTTGCTTTTTACTTCAGGTAGTGTGCGATGTCAGCATCTTGATTATTTCATTAAAGAACTCCTTTAAGCAACGATACTTGTCAAAATCGAACGATATTTATTCTTTAATCGATTTAGAAGGGTTCTACTGTTCAGAATATCGATATACTGTAAAATCAGTCCCCGACGTTGTGTGGGATTTTTTTAAAGCATATTCGCAAACATTTCAGGGTAACAAATTTCTCTAGAAACAAAGAAAGTAATATATGTAATATCAGCAATCCTATATCGCTGGACAATCTACTCGGAACAAAAATGTGATTTTGCTGAAAATGCCATGAGCTGAACATTTATTTTTAGAGGAAACAGAAACAAAAAGGACATTTATAATTAACACCAATTAAAGAAACAGTTGATATTTCTCGTGTAACTATTGAGGAAAGAGGGCTTAGAAAATGTATCACTCAAAGGACAGATTGAATGCAAGATGAACAGAGGAAAACAGAGCATGACCTACCTAACGAGCTTGAGTAAATGGCTAACAGAAGTGGATTTAGAAGAGATGGGCTACAAAGAAAATTGTCGAGAACCATGATCGCCAACGCCCTGAAGGGACAAGGCATAGAGAAAAGAAGAAAATTGTACCACAAATTATAATGAAAAGATTTAAATACGGAATGGTCCGAAAGTATTGTCACCCCCTATAAAAAATAGTAATGAGAACAATAGAAGAACAAGTCATACAAAACACATGTACTGGATTCAGTTTATTCATTTTCATTGACGCTGTCACACATCGAGATGGTCTGTCTGAACACCATTTTTGTGGTACAAAATAATGCGGCGATCTGTACTGTTTGACATTATACGAAGCTGTGCTTTGTTGACTGTTGCAAAGGCTCTCTGAACGACGTCCTTCAGCTGATGGGTATTCTGGTATCGTTCATGCGAAAGCCTCTCCTTGATAATACGCCGCAGAGCGTTGAAATAGAAAATTATATTGTATAGAGCTGACGAGACTTTCGGACCATCATGTGCATGTAAATAGTTGCAAATAAAAGTAAAAGTAAGCACAAAAATAAAATAACTGCAGAAAGATGTGAAAATTTCAGTCGTATAAAGGATTATTGTTGAGTTGATAATTTTTTTGTTTGCCTTCAAAGATTTTCAGATTAAAGTCCCAAGATGGAGGAAGGAAATACCCACATTATAAATTTAAATAATATTTGTTGTTTTAGAAACTTTCTACAATTGTTTGATTATTCAAGAAATTTAATTGATAACATTGGCACGCAAGTAATGTAAACCTCCTCAGATTAGTGTGTCTATCTTTCCCTAAACAAGAAAATACAAAAACACTTTTGTAAAAGCTCTACTAATATTCTAAGTAAATACAAAGAAACGATATCCACACCCGTCTGAATTTAAGTGCAAGTTTAGATTTGATGTGGCCTTGCGATTCATATACAAATTACATTAAATCTGAAAAAAATTTTTACAATATATGCACAGAAATATTTGGGCTGGTATTTAGTTATACATAGATTATATATATATATATATATATATATATATATATATATATATACACTCACAAGTTTTTTTTTTTTTTATTCTTGTCACTGCTAATCTATATCAACAATCACACACAAAATATATATATATATATATATATATATATATATATTACATGCACATATACATACCAACGCAGAATATCCATATATATATATATTTTTTTTTCTTCCATTCTTGTCACTGGTAATCTATATCAACACACACACAGTATATATATATATATATATATATATATATATAAATGCAGAATGTGTGTGCATATAATGTGTATATATATATATATATATATATATATATATATATATAAATGCAGAATGTGTGTGCATAAGTGTGTGTATATATATATATATATATATATATATATATATAAAACCTATGTTGATTGCTTTCTCATTTATAAAGCGAGCTATTGCTTGATATCAATCTATTCCTAGTTTTGTCAGTGTGCAGCACGAACGTGACCTTTAGTTCAGTCAGGGTTCCATACTCTCTGCTCTACTTATAAACTTTCATGGAGCTTAAGGGCCTTTTTGGCTATGTCCACCATTCGTGGTTGAAACAGACTTGATCTGAGAGCATTGACAATTGAGACGCCACACTCATCAGAATTCTTGAGTTCGAACCTCACCACTGGATGTTTATAATGCCATAAAATTATATAAAAACTACCCAATTGTACTTTCCGAACTGTTTCGGCTGTACATTTAGCCATTTTCAAGGTTGAAATATATTGATTTAACAAGAAATATATTGTTGTATATATGTATTTATATAATGTTTCATTTTCAAAACACGCTCAAGATATTGTGTCCATGTTTATAGTTGATATTATTGAATGCTAACAGTTAATATATTTCAACCTTGAAGATGGCTAAATGTCTATTCGAAAGCTCTCGGAAAGAGAGAACAATTTTTATATAATTTATCCCCCGAAAAGAAAAAAAATAAAATAAAATCACATGAGAAATTGTATAAAAAACTAAGTCAAAGCACTTTGTCATATTCAATGAAATGTGCATGAAAGAAGGATTGCTGTCAGTATATATATATATATATATATATATATATATATGTGTGAAGAAAAATATACGGAAAAAAAACAAACAAAAATCCTAATATGCAATTATGCTGTTTTAATGCTAATATAATGTCAACGTCGGACGTTTCGGTCTAATAGACCATCTTCAGGACATGTTCATAAAACATAATTAACATTAACGTCCGACGTTGACATTATATTAACATTAAAACAGCATAATTGCATATTAGGATTTTGTTTTTTCCGTATATTTTTCTTCATATCAGATCTATATCCATATATTTGTTTATATATATATATATATATATATATATGTGTGTGTGTGTGTGTGTGTGTGTGTGAAAATGTGTGTATATATATATATATATATATATATATATAATTATTTATATATGATATGCGCGGTACTTATTAGAGATAGAGCTAACATAAAACATAATACACGCAATCTACATAAACCCAAATTTAAAAAAATTAATCAGTTTGACGATCGCAAAAGCGTGAAACCCAGGGTCACAAACTCACATCAATCCAACTATATATATATATATATATATATATATATATATATATATATAGAGAGAGAGAGAGAGAGAGAGAGAGAGAGAGATTTTGGGAGAGAAAATTAAAGGAAAAAAAAAATTACCTGAATCAGAAATAGTAAAAGTCCGGTTGTTTCCAGATCGGATGGACAACTGGACACTGCCTGTGGTGTCCGGGTCATTGACGGGAATAGTGAGCACAGTGCGGTCAGTTGGGTGGTTTTCGGGTATGTCCAATGCATAAACATTCTGACTAAAATGGAGGGCTGTCATTAATATCGAGTAACTCCACATTTGCCTGAAAGGGAGACAAAAAAACGAAAATGTCAATGACAAATGACACATATCAATGACGAATCAAAACCAAATTGTTGTCTTTCAATATATAAAAAATTCTAATCTCGAAAAGGAGAATGAAATCTGAGAAATTAAAATACCGACACACATAAATAATGTCTGTTACAAAGCCAATATAAATATGAATAAGTTAGAAACGACCATCATTAGAGATATTAACTCACCATGGCTCCTCTGTGAACGGCCCTATAATAGGTATTTACCAAGTGCAGCTGAGAAAAGCGTAAGACTACAGTTATGAGTCATCCATGAGGATAGTTGTAATGGTTTACAATACACTGCTGTACGGCACTTACCAATTTTGTCTATAAATTTTACATCATTGCAGAACTTTTTTAAATACTCACACAATAAATATTATTAGTCAAGTGCATAGTTAGTCTCCATTGCTTTTAACAATTTTCTCCCATTGTACTACAAGCTTGTTGGTACCATTTCCGTAGAAAATTCGTGTTTTGGGTTTTTTTTTTTTTTGAGGAAGGTTATAAAGTAGTTTTCGAGTGACTGTACAGAGTCAAATTTTTTTGTCGTTTAAATTGCTCTCAACGACCAGAACAAATGAAAATCCGAAGGAAGCCAAGTCAGAAGAATACGGCCGTCGTTGAAGAGTTTCTCATTTCGACTCTAAGCTTCTACAAGGCCTGTTTTGCAATATGCAGTCTTGCGTCGTTGTCCTGGAAAGAAATGATACCTTTCCGATTTTCTAAACTCGGCTGTTTTTCTTGAACCTAAGTGACTTCAAATGCCGAAAGGCAGTTCAGTCATCGATTTTCAAGCTCTTAGCAATCTCTTCCATTGAAATATTTATTCTCTACAATGGCAAGCAGTGTGTCTTCATCGGTATCGGAAGTTCGCCTGAAACGTGGTTGACCGTTTAGGTTAAAAAAAAAAATCTGCCAAACCACTTTATAACCGTCCTGAGAGCTGGAGCACAAAACAAATAAAAAATCTGAATGTTTTTTCTTTTCTTTTTTTTTTTTTTTTGACTGCTGTTCAGACACTTAATCCTGAGAACATAAAACTTAATATATGCAACATTTCATTCTCTATCTTTAAGGAATTCATTTTTTTAACGAAACGTCCAGATTCAACAAAGTCCGACTCGCAAATGAACAATGCAAGGTTTCAATATAGAACACACCAAAAATCGATACCAAAACAAACGCCAATGTCAAGTTGCGGTCATTTATATTAACAATGAAAATCGGACAAAAACTTTTCTAGTAGTCTGATATTTGCGTAAAAGCAAACATATGAAAATACAGAAATATATACTATATCTATACGTTGTCTCTCTAATACATTATATATATATATATATATATATATATATATATATATATATATATATATATATATAATGAGAACATCAGGGAAACACTGAAATATATCGAGCGGTCATGAAGTTAAATATTTTGAAACACATCATAACTCAACATACCAACCTAGTGAAATCGCGTTAGTTGATGTTCACCATCTTTGTGCAGCGCCCCCCCTTCAACACACGCACTTCGGCTCAAAAATATTGTGAAAAAAAAAGAAAAGAAAAGGAAATTGAGATTTTTCACAATAAGCCTGACACAAGCAAACCATCACTAACCTATACAGACAAAAAGATATATCACGGTAAAAGTGATTTACACAAACAGTTCCAGACATTCAATGTTGACAAATTCAAAAAGGAACAACCCATTTTCTTTCTGATTGTATTTTGCTTGCCAATACATATTTTGTAAGCAGACGTTATTTTTTCTGACATTCTTGGCACTGGTAAGCTGTATCAACACAAAAACCCAATATATAAATATTCACATACGCTCTCTCTCTCTCTATCTATCTATCTCTGATATTGAGCACTTTATCCCATAAAGATAGCACACTTTAAAACTATATATATATATATATATATATATATATATATATAAAGAACAGTAAGATATGTAATCCGTTTTGCTTATTGATATTTTTTACAAAATAGTGCTCAATGTAAATTTACAGAGCATTAATATTATAAATTAACTGATTTAAAATACGTTTTTTTCGCTACACAGTAATAACCATGTTTCAAAAATGGAAGCTAAAAATTTTAAATTTAATTTTGTAATTAAATTAAAAATATTAGTTCCATTTCATCTTCAAGCGAATTTTTGGAGTAACTTATTTTTTTAAATTTACTGCAATTTAACTGTAAGGGAAATTCATAATTTACGTTTACCAAGGATACAGAGAAATCTAATCATCCAGACAAGGAGTGGTAGCATGTTCAGTTTTATTAACTTTTGTTGTATCATTTGTTATGTTTTGAAAAAGGGGTTAAGTTCAGGTACGGGTGGCGGTGTATTTTCCAACGAATTCTGACATCCGTTAAATTCATGTCTTCTGTTTTGTTTTTTTTTTTTAATTTTAAGACAAAGTTTTATAAATTAGAAAATATTGGAATCTTGACTTAGTGCCTCGATTACGGTTTTCGCCATCGTCAGACAGGCTTCCTCTGATCAGAACGAAAGAAACATATCTGTGCGTGCCTCAATATTAAATTGTTAATAATTTTTTCACTAAGCTTCCCACGGTCGGAATGAAAGACCAAATTTTTGTGACTTTTGTACAAAAGTAATTATTTTAATTTATGCTGTTGTTTTTTTTTTTTATTTTTATTTATTTTCAACATTCTTATTTTGTCGTAATATTTTTTTATATTCACCCAACTTTTCTGCAGTAGATTTACGGTAAATCACTATCCAATGTTTTAGAATGGGTTGAAAGTAAAAGATTCATATATTTTGGGTATGTCTTGTTTATATATATATATATATATATATATATATATATATAATATATATATATATATATATATATATATATATATATATACACATACACACTGGATTGAGGAATCAGAGAGCCGAGTTCAAATTCTAGTAGAATCCATTACATTCACTTACGTACTAATAACTTGGGAAAAGGTATTCTTCTTCCTCCAGTATCTCTCTGTATTCGACCCTTCTGCACAAAGCTTTCATCACTATAATCAAATCATATTGTGCTGGTGTCTGGCTGTCGGTTCCTAGGAACTGAGCTGCTTGACTCTCATACGTCGAATACGACGGGAGAGTCCACCATATATATATATATATATATATATATATATATATATATATAAAGATACGAGGGCATACTGAAGCATTTCTTCACCTTATGCATCAGTAAATCTAATGGTGAAAATAGGATTTATATTTTCCCAAATATTTCTCTTCCAATATAATCTCCAGTCTCGGTGCAGGTTTTTCAATTGTATTTATATTTAGACTCAAATATTATAGAGAAAGAAATTCAGATCAAATTTCCGTCACCAAGTCTATTCCAGGCTACAGACATGCGCGGATTTGGTGGTATTTCAGTACAAGTATGACGATAAACTACATCCGGCAGCATGGCCTCTGATCGTGAGGTTTAGAGGATCGTGGAACCACCTCTTAATAGCTGTCCTTCCCAAATGTACCCTGACGCGGTATGGTAACATCTGTTAAGATCCTAGCTATGGCCTAATAGTGAATCCGCAAATTGACGTCAAAAAATATATAAAAGTACAGTTTTATTGTAAAAAAAAATTCCGGAAATAGATTTTAATGGTAAAAAAATAAATCCAGGAATAAAAATAATTCTAACAATAGATTTTAATATTAAAAAAATTTTTACCAAAAAAAAAAAAAATTGAATTTCGGCATAAAATGACCCATAATGTGTTGATATGCTAAACAAACTAAACCAAATGGTTGGAAAATTTACGCTATATATCATAACATTAACCTTTACTTTTATAACAGCATTTCACCTGCTGTTTGTTTTCTAGTTTACAAATATAAAGCGTACTATATTCAAAAGGTGAACGTTACACAAAATCCCCGAAGTTTTAGGTAACACCTCTTATATAGATACATTTTTGTGCACATTTGCATTCAACCAATTCACTCATCAAAACTCAAACATGTATTTGACATTTTCGCATAAAAGCAAGCACTCAGGGCTTTTATATAAACAACAATGTTTATAAAAATCTCTCATAGAAAGAGAGTGAGAGTGAGAGGAAAATATAGAAAAAAAATACAGTTTTTTTTTTTATTACAACCAGAGAAAACTCATTTTTTATAATTTACTTGCATATTATTTTTATAAAGATTTCTTTTTTTTTCGTAGCGCAAATTTCTACCTTCAGGTGTACTTCTTACTTAAAGAAACAAAGCAAATAAATAAAGGTGAAAGTTTGCCAAATTTATTTCCATCTAGTCACCACATACCCCGTTCTCCACCACCTCAACCGTAATCTTTCATTTCGCATTTTTCGGAAATGACGGGAATTTTTTTTTTAAGTAACCAAGGCACCATGTCTTCGTTTTATTTGCATTTGCTGTTTGCCTGTGTTTCAATCGATCCATTCTACAGGTACAAGTCCTCTATTCTGACTTTCTTTAAATCCGAGTAATATTTGATCAAAGGATTTTATTCTGATTCCATTTCTGTCAATACATTCTTCAACTACGAATCTTATAGTCAGACCTAATCTAACCAATATTTGATGAAAACTTTTTATTCACATTCTCTTATTCTTTTGTATTTTGACAGGCCTTAATAGGTGGATCAGATACTAAAATTATCAGCTCAGGATCCAAAATGGTTTTAATACATTGTTTTAATCATTTTACCCTAAGCAAGGCGATAAAGCTACTAAGGCACAAGGTGTTATTGAGGTTAAAAAACAAAGTCAAGGAAACTGAGAAAAATTACTGAAGTTGGTGTCCAAAAATATATAGCCTTGTTCCAGACTGAATAAATGCTAGAAAAGATGGTTAATCTTTTTCAAAACATTGCATATATGTCAGTGATGCATATATGTAGAGAAGTTTTCTTATAACGAGAAAATGTTTTGATTGAATTTTTTTAGTC